TCATCATACTGTTTCATGTATTTACAGAATAAGAACAAAGGTCCAGTTTTACAATTAAACCTTCGATGTGATAAAAGAAGCGTAAAGACAAGATATCAACATTAATTTCTTATGGGAACATGCCTTCACATTGTCTGTACAAATACACACAGTTTTACGTGTGTAAATCCACATTTTTGGATCAGAAGAGGGATTTTTCTCCCAGAGAAGGAAGCTGTTTTTGGATTTCTTTCTCAAAAGTCTTTGGACATTTGGTACTTCTAAATGATTTTCATTCTTCTAAGGAAGTACCAGATTGTGTAGCAATTAACCCTATGAATGCATGCTTGGATTTAGTGAAAGGGCAGTAAAAGAAAACAGTTTTGAGTCCAGTGATGGATCTGTTCACCCCCCTAGGAGGAGAGACTGCTATAAATTGCTTCATTCTTTTTTGCGGAATCTTATATACACTTGAGACTTTGTCTTCCGCATTGCTAAGACTGGAAGAAAAGTGGCATTAAGTAGTTTTTCAGTTCAGAAGATGTGATAAACCCAATAGTGTGACCTGCCTTCAACTTTGGACATAGAGTAGTAGGGGGAATGGGAAGAAATGAGAGAATCTTCCATTTTAACTCCCGCTTCTAAGAAACAAAAATGCCTAATGCAGATACATTCAACTTTACAGTGTGTTATATAGCTCCATTTTTTGTAAAAACATAAATAACTCTTTTCCTTAGACCCAAGATGGATACTTGGATGTTTGATTTATTCTAGGCGATAAGTGTAATGTTATGCTGAAAAGGCTGGGACTCAGGTACTTTCCCCAGTTGGGACTGAACTGTCTTACCAGAGAATGGGCTTCAGAAACAATCTTCCCAGACTTGTGGATGGGTCATTGTAGTTTCAGGGCATGGAAAAGAAACCTCAAACAAGAAAAATAGTTCCAATAAGAAATAGAGATTTTCTCTTTTTCCCCTTAACAGTTATACAATATGATGTACAGACTATAGTAGAAAACTGTCATTGCTTCCAAATCAACAGAGGAACATTGTATGCACTGTCAGGTCTTTACATAAGAAGAGTAAAACTTTTATGATTCTTTGTGAGTACAGAATGAATTTAAAACTTCTTAGATGAAATTAAGAACAGAATTAGATCATCTCTGTGTTTTCTGGAATGTTTGCTCAGGGCCATGCATGCTGTGGTGCTGGGAACTTAGGGTAGATTCATCAAAATTTGAGTGATAGAAATGGCCCCAAATGGAAAATATTGAGCACTCTTAATGATTAGTGAGATTGATTAACCAATTTGAATTGGGATAAAAAAAGAATTTTAGTAAAATAATTACATGATACAGATAAAATATAATTTCTTTTAATTGAAAGGAATCACTAAGTCGTAATGCATAGTTGAATTAACTTTGGTTAAAGGTAACTTAAATTTTTCTCTCAACTCCAAGCCACTTCCTGATGTTTTCCTTTAGTATTTTGGAATTGTTAAAGACAGAATGCTGTCTGCATACATGGGTCCCGATGGTATGTTATGAATATCTTATCATGGAAAATTTATACCTTCCAATTGTCTGTTACCCGTCTTCCCCATGTCCTTTGGCAACTTTTTTTGGTAGGATCATTGGGCAGGGGATAGGGTACTTGTATTCATCGGCACCAGTGAAACCAGCTGTGGCCCTCTGGTTTGAACAAGTATCAGACTAAGCTTCTCCAGATGCTTTGTATTTTTTCATTTCTCAGTTCAGATAACCCGTGTTTAATGCTCTTTCAAATTGTTTTCTGCATCTTCCATGGCTGATATCAGATGTCATTTAACGAAGTGGGTATATTCCAGTTGTAGTAGCCCAGTGTTTACTTATACATCTGTATTTTTTTTTGTCGATTTTGGTCCCCTTCTTGATGGCAAAAGCTATAATTTTAGGCAGGACTATGCCTTGATACGGAGTTGTGCATCCTTCCTTTCTCTTGCTCTTACATGTTAGCTGGCAGTTTTTCTTTTGAAAAGTTTAACGAAAATGGGATATGTGCAATAGGAATATATATATATGTATATTTTAATACTTGTGGACAAATGTTACAAGTTGTTTAAGAACAACAAAATCACCAATGTCTTCCATTTTGAGATGTGTATAGTTTTGTAAGCATTAGTGCTTGGTAGCATATTGTAGTGCCATGTTAGGGGTTAGTGCATGAACTTAGTAATAATTTTACACTTCAGGATGAATTGTTGATAACAATAATAGTGTAAAAAGAGTGGAAAATCTAGACTTTTTTTCATAAATATCTGAATCTGTGATATTCTCCCTGGGGAAAGGAGATTAAGGCCAAATAAGTGTCATTTGTGAATAGAAATGTGGGGTCAAAGTCTTGAGATATTGTGTTTGAGGATATTTCAGCTTTCCATGAGGTAGCTGGAAAGCCTTTTTGTTTTCTGAAATCTTAAAATGAGACCCCTTTCCTAATTTCGCTTTGCTCTTAGTTTGATGTGATTTTGTTCTTAAACTGTCTTCATATTAGTTGTCTTTTAGGTTAATTATTTTCCCATTCTTTGTCTGTCAAGAAATTATTTTACATTTTGCATGTCATACTAAGATGCCATAGTAGTTGTTTCAGTGAGTGCTTTTTTAATCTGCAGACCATTTACATTTCCTATCTGCAGCATGCTGTGTGTAAATACTATAGTAATTCAGAGTGTCCTAGATTATTTGTAACAGGATCTTCCTACTTCCAAATCTGCTGAATTGTGTATTAATGGAATTTAAGACCTTGAATTTAAGACCTTTTCATGAGAATTGGAGATATAGCAGGATGGCACGTACCTAGGTTGCTATGAAATAAGTAGACTCTTTCCCTTGGTTATAAGAAAGCCTCAGACAGCTTTCACTTTTTACTACTTTCCTTGTGGACAGTTTTGTTCTGAAAGCATTAAGATAGCTTTCTATAGAAAAGGAATTCCTACCTCTAAAAGCTACCTTGAGAACTTGGAAGTGGCAGTTTTCTGAGGTGATTCTTAAATCTCAGTATTAAAGATTTGAGTCCAGGATTTGTTGACACAGATTCTACAGCTAGTATGATAGGAAACACAAAAACTATTTTAATGTGGTGTATCTTATATACAAGCAAGTTAGAATAAGAAGCCTCTGGCAGCAGATCTCCAGGGACTCAGGTTTAGATTCTCATAGTTGTACTCTTGACTCAAGTAGTTTAGTGCCTGGGAGAATCCATTTCTGAAAAGCATTTAATTTTTTTAAAAAAATACCTCTGAAAAGGTAATGAATGCAAAATAGCACAGTATATAGGAAAGGATATTTCCTGTTGCAAAAACAAAAAAAAAAGCCATAAAATGAACTAATAATTTTCAAGAGGTAGAATTTTAATAGCAATAACAGTTTTGCTTGTATAGTAAATTGCATTAACAAGGTTGTATAGTAGAGTAAGTGATACTACTTGAGTTTGTGGGGCTCTGCAATCAACAGAGTTGCACAAAAGGAAAAAGATGTTCTGGATAAAGAGCATATAAAAAGTACTTTCTTTTAAAACAGTATGAATGTATATGAATATATCATTGTTTGAGAAATAACAACTTTTGTGTAAGTTAAAGGTTAAAGACCCTATTTGTTTCCTAAAGCAGAGGATGAGAGCCGTTGAAATGAAAACTTGCTAGTGCAAGTTTAACTGGAAAACAAATATGCTTCTACAGCTCCATTGAAGCTGTCATATGGGTTTTTTGCTTAAGATGTTCTTTTTTAGCAACAGGCATTTATTCTGTAGAATGGCATACTTTTCTGATTTGTCTCATTTTTCTCCATTACTTTCCTGTACATTTTTTTTAAAAAGAAGAGAAAAGTTTGTGTGTTTAGTGTCTTAATAAAACCCAAGAACATGGATAGCTGGATTTTCCTCATGTTTGTGGTTATGGAATTGGGATTTAAAGGTGAAAAGGAAAAGGATTGAAGGGAATAGCCAATGACTGTATGTTTGTGTGTTTGTGTTAAACCTTGTCTAATGGAGATGTGGCCTGTGGCCTGTGATTGCTTATTCTCTTAACAAGGAGAACCCAGCGAACTAATTTCTTTCTTGATCTGAGGAATCACACAGTTCATATCAGGATACAATAATGGAACTAGGGTGATACCTTACTCCCATTTACCTCATGTCCATCTTTGCCATTTAGCATCTTGAAGATCCCTGAAAAGATTGGGTCTATGTTCCCTTGTTTTCCCAGAGGAAAAAAATACTAAAAGATAAGTGGTATGGATCGAAGAAAATAGTGTCTCTTGAATATTTAATTCTTATATGACAACTCTAACAGATAGAGAAAAGGCTATTTTAAGTTGATTATAGCTCCTCTTTGAGTACCCTCAGTTGGTGTTAGAGACATTGAAACAATATTTAGATATCTGCATGATCATGGGAACAGGGGTACATATTACAGTGATGTCAATAGTTCTATTACTTGGAACTTTTAAAGATTACCCTTAACAGTCATGTCAATAGTCCTAAATGCTAAAATATGCTACAAGTTTTCATAGTCTCGAAGTATGCAGTTAATTTCTTTGCAAAGTTATTGTGGTCTTACGTTTATT